GAGAGAAGCTTACCTCCACTTATCTGCTGGAGATAAAGAGACTGCAAGGCGACGTTTTTGAAGGCGGGTTCCAGTTTGAAATCTACCTGGAGAGAGAGGCTTCAGTTGCACTTGCCTACTCCTGCTGGCTGTCGGGGCACAGGAAGACGTGCATAGTTGACTTCACGTGTCATGTCTGTAGTTATCTGTTTTGATTCCGTTGGTGATAGAACAAAGTTTTTTTTTTTTTTTTTTTTCGCTTCTGCCTTGGAGGTGAGGTCTGGTGTGATCCCACACCTTGAAGAGGGCCACATTATACTTACTTGAGAGAGACTCGTTCGTCATTTCTTCTGGAGGAAGACGGGCTTTTTTTTTTGGGGGGGGGGGGGTTTAGGCCAGTGCCAGCGTGATCCCACGGCCTGAAGGGAGCGGGTAACAGAGGGATCGACGACCTGGGAAGCTCATCTCCTTGAGAGGAACCAAGGACTTGAGAAGCTTATCGTCCAATAAAGGGAAGAGTGGGGAGGTAGGGACACATTCCAAGTCTTTCTGTGAATATGGTCCATACAAACAAAGATGCATCAGTGCCCGACAGCGAAGAGATAGTGCAAAGGAAATCTTATAAATCAAAATGAAGCTTGACGCTCTGCATGACTATGAGCCTGGTGTGAAAGGGAAGGGGCTGGACTGTGTAGCTAAGAAGCACAATGTCAGTAAATCAACACTGCAAAAGTGGGTGTTGAATGCAAAAGAACTGAAGGAGACACTTTCAGATAGGAAGACAACGAGTCATACACAGCGGCGACTGGCTGGGGGAGGTAGGAAAGTCGTACAATAAGAACTGGAGGATGAAGTGGAGCATGGGTGGTTGAGAAAAACAAGAAAGGACTGCGTGTCAGAGAGCAATACATTCAAGCAAAGGCACAAGTCATCTTTCAGCAAATGAAGGAGAGTGGGAAGGTAGATGAGAATGTTGAGTTCACTGCGTCTGGAGGGTGGATGTGAAGGTTCAAGAAACGGAAGAATTTTGTGTCTCGCAGGCAAACAACAACGAGGTCCTTACCTGATGATGCAGCTGATTCATGCCGAGCCTTTACTGGCCAAGTACATGAACTCATCGACAAATACCAGATTGTGCCAGCAAACGTACTGAACATGGACCAAGTACCCAGATATCTTGAAACTGAGCCTGCAATGACACTGGCGAAGCGTGGGAGTCGCCAAGTGCTTCTTCGCAAGGGAGGCACATCCCAAAATAGATTCACGATGACATTTACAATTTCCCTTGCAGGTGAGGTTTTCAAACCTCACCTCTTGGTTTCCAAGTTGAAGAACAAGCCAGAGGTAAGCGGATCAGTCCTTGTTGATGTAAACAACTCTGGCATGTGGAGTGGCGGCACGATCACATCATACCTCAAGGATACGATCGAGTGCACGCGTCAGACAACGTTTGAAAGAGAACATGTGTTGCTTCTCATGGACAGTTATGGTCCGCACCTGAAACTGCGTGAAAATACAAAACTGCAGAGGCAGAACATTCATGAGCTGATCATCCCACCGAACTTGACCAGTGTGCTCCAACCGCTTGACGTTTGCGTCAACAGATCCTTCCAACATCATTACGCTCAAAAGTATGAAGCATAAATGTCCTTCTTATTGAATGGTGACAGACTGGGTCTGTGAGTGGGTGAAAACGCAAACAAAGGAAAACATTGCAAATGCGTTCAAGTTGTGCGGACTGGTGCGTCAGGCCGACTTCAAAGTGGAGAAGTTGCATGCACCGTTGAAGACTCTCTTTAATTCAGTTTTGAACATGGATGACTGGAATGCTCTGTGTGCGCAAGAGTTCACTGTTGCTCCAGAATCTGAATCTGGAGCTTCTGCAGCCCCCAAAGTTCTTCATCCCATACTATGCCCAAGAAGGAGAGTGTGCCATACTACGCACCACACGGGTCTGCAGGGCCGACCAGGCGGAATAAGGGCCCTCGAGGCCCTGTGTTGTTTCAGCCTAAGAAGGAGGGTGATTCTCAAGCCCTCATAAAGTCGACCTTTCCTGAAACTTTGGCGACAGACCAGGGATAAGCGCAGGCCACTATTAGGCCCGTTTCCAGACAACCTTTTTTTGAACTTCAGCACTAGGGTCTGGCACGATTCGGCATTGGCAAGAGCAGCCTCCCAGCCGAACCAACACTAAATAGTATTGGTCCGCCCTGCAGGCTGCAGGCAGGAGGCAGTTGAGGAGGCAGTCTTCAGGATTCGGCCGCAGCACTCTGCAGGAGCGCTGCAATAGTAGTAGCTAGCGTTAGGAGTAGTCTTCAGCGCTGGGCGCTGCTAGGAGCTTAGAGTAGCATTGAGAGAGAGAGAGAGGTGGCGGAGGCCAGGGAGACTTACTTGTGGCACAATAGCTCCAACTTCGTCTTCGATGTACCTGCAATAAGGCGCCACCTTCACAGGTTAGTACTTGGCACAAGAGAGAGAAAGAGAGAGTTCTTCTTCTTCCTCTAAGTCCATCTCTCCCTCACCCTCTCGCCACCTGACTTCTCGCTATCTGGCAGACTAAGAGAGAGAGAGAGAGAGAGAGAGAGAGAGAGAGAGAGAGAGAGAGAGAGAGAGAGAGAGAGAGAGAGAGAGAGAGAGAGAGAGAGA